GATTAAAATCACCTTAAAAATCCTCAGTGTCACTCTGTCATACAGCTACCGATTCCCTCACGACACCACCAGCCGGCTCGTCACTCCGTGGGTTCCGGCTCACGGTGGTTCGTGGTTCGTGGCGGTGGTCCCTGGTGCATTATCAGTGATTTGTGGTATGTTGTTTCGGTGGTCCGTGGTCCTTGATCCGTGGTGTGTGATCCGTAGTTTAATTGATTCGCGATCTACTTGATTTAGTTGAAATCATTTCATTCAGGCATCCCAAGTACAAACATTCGGGCGGTTCTGTGTTTCACACTATACCCTTTCAAGTCTTTCGTAGGTATACAGAGCACATATGTATGTCACAAGGATATAGGTATAACGTCATGTGTGATGTAAACGGATACATAAATCTGCATTCAGTGTCTCACGGTCTGACGCCGTTGGCCTGAATCCTATGACTACTGCCTACACTCCTGGTCCGTGTCTCTTGGTCCGTGTCCAGTTCCGTCGCGGTACGCTCGGTCGGCCGCGGAACGGGAGTGGGTCACCGACCGCACCTGGCACCGCCACTGCACCCGCCGCTACCGCTGCGCTAGTCGCGCTGCCGCCGCCACTGCACGACGTGCCCCCGGCCGCGGATAGCGCCGTGCACTGACCGCGACCGCAGCGAACCTCACGCCCTTGCTGCACGAGCGAAAAGAGGTCACCGTGCCGCCGCTTGCCACGCAGAGCCACAATCCGGCACGTGTGTCCACTGCCCGGTGTATGTAGCGCCGTGTCCATACCTAATACCGTCCCGCACTTCGAGATGCGAACAGAGTTGCGCGGCTGGAGACGGACATTACCCACACTGATGTTTCATAGCCATTTATTAGGCCATTTTGTAGCTACATATCCCATGTCATATAGTTATATGGCCAGCATATGTTATGTTTTTATGATATCGTGGCCCACTAACGCTTATTGCAATGAATTGTTTTACATACAATCTTCTCGGTGTGACGCAATTCACCATGGGAGCTTCGTTATGCGGCCTTCGTCTTAAGTCATGCTGCTACCTTATAAAGCATTAGCACGACTTTGCATCAGAGCTGCATGACTTTACCGGTTATACCCGGTATAAGCATGACGGGGCTATCGAATTCGATTCGCATTTCGCGCACATTGTTGATTTAATGAGAGCGCTATAGTCGCTCATCACTAAGCGTTACGCAAGTTGCAAGTAATGGTTACCCACATGTAATTGACAGCCATATATGCTTCTTGGAATCAGCTCTGGATACCTGTACATTTTTCATAAGCTGCGCCCAGGTGTGGGTCTCAGCCAGCTTTGCTATGGTGGGAGTAATGTTGGTCAACATTTTGGTCACACCTGGTTTTCTACAAAAAAAGAGCTACGGGAAATAGACGTAGAAAACAATAGATAGGTAATTCCCTATAGCCCGTGTCTAATTATGTATGTCTTAACCCTATTCCTGGCGGGGGGGGCCTCAGGAGCCCCCCCCCCTGAGGTTTTTTGGTTATTTCTCCCAAACGCGTTGAGCTAGGAAGCTCAAATTTTCTGACTTTTCCTAAAAGGCTTCTACGCAACATGTCTGAGAATTTTGAGTTGATCTGACCTCAGGTCAGGTCACCAGAGGCGGTTTGGTGACCCTACCTCAGAAAAGTTTGCAATCACGCCAGAGCTAGAGTTTTTGACCGATCAACTTCTTCTCTTCAGGCTTTAGTTAGGGTACCAGTATGTGCAATTTGTATATCTCGGAATTTTGATATCGGTGACCTAAGGTCAGGTCAGTTTCGCGACCTCCCCATTATAAGTCAATGGGGGAAAAATCAACTCCCTGTTTTTACCACTAAAACGGGTCGGAATGGCCCCATATACCATACATGACTTCATATACGATCAACCTTCACTACCTTGAGGTCTGTTTTGCTGTTGGGCAGCTGTGAGGTCATGTGACGTCATCAAAGGTCACCAAAGGTTTTTGGCCAATAACTCCGTACAGGAACAAGATACAGACGCGTGGATGGTCTCATTGTGTTCAGCTCGTCAAGACGCATCGAATGATATACATGATGACCTCGAGGTCACGTGACCTGAGGTCAACCTTTGACCTTGACCTTTCGAGGTCAACATATATATATCATTCGATGCGGATTGACGAGAGGATCACGATGATGCCCTTAGTTTGTTCCTATCTTGACTAATTCGAAAGTTATTCGCGAAAAACTCTCTCCATATCTAGCGCCGCCATTTTGACTTTTTCGACCCCTGTGACGTCATCTTTGCCCTGACCTGAAAATGACCTTAGTAAAAATTGTAGACCTTGTCCATGCGTATCCGATGCCGTTAACCGCTTGTCGCTATCTTGCTTCGTTCTCGAGATCTCAGGGGGGGGGCGAATCGGCCCCCCCCCCGCCAGTTTCTTGTCCCGGCGGAGCCCGCCAGGAATAGGGTTAAAAGTACCGCGCAAAGAGACGGTGAATCCATCAAGCCTGACTAGGAAGGGCCTGCTCTAATTTGAAAGTCACCGGACCAATTGACCTGGGGAGTGGACGAGGACGTCAATTACATCGGTGACTCAAATTTAGCAGGCCATTGGCCTTGGTCAGGCTTGATGGATTCACCGTTACTTTGCGCGGTACTTTTAGGTAAGTCAGACTGTACAGTCTGTCTTAAAAGTACCGCGCAAAGTGACGGTGGATCCATCGAGCCTGACCGAGGAAGGGCCTGCTAAATTTGGGTCACCGAAGCAATTGACATCCTCGTCCATTCCCTAGGGCTGACGGCTGACCTTTAGGTACATGACTAGACCTAAAATTCTTTCAGATATGTTTCATATCACTAATTGAGTATGCAAATTGCATTGTGTGAATAAAATGGCCCTTAACCCGCGCACCGACGGGGGGGGGGGCGGATATCCGCCCCCCCCTGAGGTTTTTCGCGAATGCCGCGAAATTTGGTACGACTATTCTCTCATCAATTTTACACATGATGTGCAAGTTTGAACCTCCTAACTTTTAAGGTCAGGTCACCAGGTCACTTTGAATGACCCAACCTCAAGTCACTTTTTTGCAACTTTGTCACCGTGCCAGAGCTACAGTAGATGTCGGAGGCCTTTGAAAGTCGCAGAATGTTATTAGGTCATTAGTAGCTACAATTTGTATATCTCAGAATTTTGATATCGGTGACCTAAGGTCAGGTCAATTTCTCGACCTCCCCATTATAAGTCAATGGGGGAAAATCAACTCCCTGTTTTTACCACTAAAACGGGTCGGAATGGCCCCATAAACCATACATGACCTCATATACGATCAACCTTCACTACCTTGAGGTCTGTTTTGCTGTTAGGCAGCTGTAAGGTCATGTGACGTCATCAAAGGTCACCAGCGGTTTTTTGACCATAACTCCGTACAGGAACAAGATACAGCCGCGCGGATGGTCTCATTGTGTTCAGCTCGTCAAGGCGCATCGAATGATATACATGATGACCTCGAGGTCACGTGACCTGAGGTCAACCTTTCACCTTGACCTTTCGAGGTCAACATATATATCATTCGATGCGGATTGACGAGAGGATCACGATGCTGCCCTTAGTTTGTTCTTATATTGACTAGTTCGAAAGTTATTCGAGAAAAACTCTCTCCATACCTAGCGCCGCCATTTTGACTTTTTTGACCCCTGTGACGTCATCTTTGACCTGACCTGAAAATGACCTCGGTAAAAATTGTAGACCTTGTCCGTGCGTATCCCTTGCAGTTTACCGCTTGTCGCTATCTTGCTTCGTTCTCGAGATCTCAGGGGGGGCGGTCATCCGCCCCCCCCCGTCGGTGCGAAGTTGGCGCAGACCCCCGTCGGTGCGCGGGTTAAAACATGTGTCGCTCATATGCTATTCTATTTTTCGTCTTTGGTGACCTGACCTTGATCTTGATCTTTGCATGACATCGTATGCAACGCATCTTGTCTTGGTAGCCTAAGAACACGCTTTGGGTAATCAATCTTTGAGTCCGTTATTGGCCAACTGCGCTCCCAAACCGACAATGTAGAAACGTGCAGTTTTTACTCTTGACCTTATCCTTACGTGACCTTTAGCCTAGTTGTGCAAAAAGTCATGTTCCTAAGGTACATCGTGTTGACTTTGAGTACTTTCCATTGCCGTTTTTCGTCTTTCTACGCCCATCCATTCGGAAATAACACAGGGGGCAGAATCCGACCCCCAGCGGGGCGCGTATCAGGGGCGGAGAATTGTCATAATCAGGGCTGCGGAGTCGGAGTCGGAGTCGGAGTCGGTCGGAGTCGACAGTTGTGACCGGAGTCGGAGTCGGAGTCGGAGTCGATTTTAGAAACCCGAGCCGGAGTCGGAGTCGGAGTCACCGAAAATCTGTCGACTCCGCAGCCCTGCTAGGTCTGCGGAGTCGTAGTCGGGAGTTGGAGTCGGTCGGAGTCGACAATTCTGCCCGGAGTCGGAGTCGGAGTCGGAGCTGGTTTTTGAAAGCCGGAGTCGGAGTCGGAGTCGGAGTCGCCGAAAATCCATCGACTCCGCAGCCCTGGTCATAATCCCAGGGGGTGCTTTTCTAGCACCTGGCGAATGGAAGCGTCAAATTCTTGCGTAGAAAAGCACATATATGATAGGTAGATACGTTTTCCCAGCAGCATCACTCTCCTCACGACTTACGCAAAGCAGTTTGTGTCTCAGACGTATTTTAAGCACCCCTGGAGCACTATTATATGGCGACGTTTGAATTTCAGGGGGTGCTCGAGCACCCCAAAACCCCTAATTCTCCACCCCTCGCGCGTATTGACTGAAAAGTCTAGCGGGGCGCGAATGGTTACTGTGGAAAAACTGCTTGTGACCCTTTACGGCCTAACTTGACCATTCAAACTTGAAATTTGATTGATGGTCATTGGTCACTAGCTGCATCGAGCCTATAGGTAACGGATGTCAAAAACAAGACATACGAATGACCAGTGGAAGTCTCAGCCTCCCAGTGACGGTCTCTCCGGTTTGCAGACTCGGAGGCGCTTCAGTCCCTCTCAGATATGGCAGAGCTGCTGGAGGAGGGCGCCGGCCGTCCCGACCTGGCCGACCAGCTGCGCAACGATATCGCCGCCGACACCGGGCTCGGCGAACAGCCCGAGGACGACGGCGAGAACGAACGCGAAGTCATGGAGTTCGAGGATGGTGTGAGCCAGGTTCGTTATTATAACGTGCTGTGAAAAGTAATTGGTCTTCGAGCCCCCTGTCGGTGACCATCTGGAGGCTAAACAGTTGACCTGATGTCAAATCTGAGTACACTCCAGAAAGGGGGTTAAAAGGGTTATCACATGCGCTTTCCCGCGGCGCTGTAGCTCATTGGTTTCTGAGTTATGTGCCGGTGTTTCGGAAAATGTTGAAATAGGCAGCATTTGACCTTTGATGAACTCTGGTGACCTGATGTTTGATCTGACCTAAAAAAATGAAAAGCGTTTTCGTCCTTATTTTGGACCTTCTTTTGAATGCCGCTTACCGGTTGTCGCCACGTGGTCCAGGAGACAAGTTAGAGGAGATGCTGAAACACTCTCCCCCTCCCCCTCCCAACAGGGCGTGGAAATCCAGGACCCCTAGCGGGGCGCGGGTTATAACAGCGAGCAAGGTTTTAATAAGTGTTACAATGTAGACTTTAAAAAGAAAAAAAGATATCGCACGAAGTGTTTACTAAAATCCCCGATAATCATCGCCTTTTTTCAACACACGACAGGCGAACATCAGCAAGTCATCCAGAGACCCGGAGGCCGACATCGACCGGGATCTCAGCTGCACCACCCACATCATGTTCCTGGCCGACAGTCAGCTCGGCAACTTCATGGTCAAATACGCGGTGCTCTACGGATTCCAGCGGAAATACAGCGCCAAAGTCTACCTTTTCCCAAAGCAATACCGATTCGCAAATAAAATATTCAAGAAGCTCTCCATCGATGTCGTACCAGGTATGTGCCATGCGTTGCATGGTGGAAGGATGCTATTGCCTTCAGTTCGAGCGTACGCGGCGTCAAAATTAATTGTGCCGTTTGCATTGTCAAAGGCGCACTGTTATATTTCTGCTCAGTCCAAATGCTATTTATCGTTCAGTCAGCTAAACACAAAGTTTTGAGAATACATCATATATAGGTACCATTAGACCCGCTCTAATTGAAACCCTAAGCGTGCATTGCCTGCATTTCGTAATTAATTAGATATCGAGGCGAACACGTTTATCAGATATGTTTGTTTCCGTACTATTTGTAATGCATTTTATTGGATATTATTGGAAATGTATTTTATTTGCTTCAGAAAATAATAAATCCAGCTTTTGCTACATAGCATTAGCGTTTGTTGAGCTCCGGGCATCTGCATGCCTATATGCAACTCATGTTATCGGGAGACATCGCATCTATACAGCCTTGCGTTTAAGCGGCCTTGTTCCGAACAATGCTATTGAAACGTGCCCGCTATCTGCTCATTCAGCTCTGACCAGTAGTGTGTTCTGTCTGTCAGATGAGCTAAAGACGGCCGACTGGAGGCCGGTCAGCTACGAGGACATCATGTACATGCTGCCCTGCAACAAATACGTCACAGAAGAGGAGTTCTTCATCGTGACTGGTAACGAACGATCCCGCCTCCCGTAAAGAACGTTGCAAACTTAGCAACTCAATCAGCCCGGAGCAATCTAATCACCGATTAGCTCAAACTGCGTGTTTTGGCTCTCCATCATTCATTCACTGAATGAATGACAGTCGCTTATCATTCTGCAGATGACTGCAACCGCATGTGTAGTGCATGTAACAAAGGGATAATGGTTCCATTCTTTAACTTCTTTACGGCTATTTTGTGACTCTTATAGTGGCGTGTGGACATTCTAACAGTTAAAGTCTTTTTTCAGACTGGCCGGCGGACAACGGTCTTCAGCTCTATTCCCAATACGTGGACGAACTCCGAAAAGACTTCGAGTTCACACCTGCATTTAGAACTAGGGTACGTATGGTCATCATTGATTGGCAATTAGCATGGATAACTTCTGTTTTCACAAGGTGATAGAGGCCTATTGTCTGACTACGTGCTAGACATTCCTAAATCCTAACCCAAATTCAGCACTGGCAATTTAGTTTCGTTCTTGTTAAGCAGGGAGTGTCACGAATGCAGTGATATCGCAATATTCTTGAGCGTTGCTCTAACTTTAAGGGACGCTCCATGGTGATCGTGGGCGTTGGATTACAAACAATAATTAGAAGACAGTGAACATGAATCTGCATTATCACACGAAGCGTCCACTGTTTCGTCATAACTAAGAATTCTCGCTTTGCGTTACAACGCTTTGTGTACTTATTTTAGGCTCGGAGGTACACCGAACGCTTCCGTGCCTCGCCCAACACCACGCTGGTTGGCATCCACGTCAGGCGGGGAGATCATATTCTGCACACATGGGTAAGCTACAACGGTCAACTGAATAGCTCACTCACACCCAAGGCTATACTCGCAAGTCACAACCCACATCGTTATGCTTATTACTTGCGTGTATGTATTTGGAGAGGCGTAGCAATTTATTGACCATAGCGAAATTATGTTATGAGGTATTTCATGGCTTTGAGTGAGTCTATGAGCAGCAATTAATCGAAAACAGCTAAATTTACAGAAACGTTCTTTTGTGGTATTTCATCACAGAACTAAAAAGTAAAAACATACCTACCTTGCGAAGCACCACTCAGCAAGCCGTCCAAAGTCGGATGTGATTTAACAACTCCACCGGCTAACTGCGATATTCATTCGACAGCTGCGTCACCAGCGGAAGGTCCCCGACCTGGACTACTTCAACAAGTCCATGCAGTATTACGCCGCCATGTTTCCCGACGTCCGCTTCGTGGCCTGTTCAGATGACAGGCGGTTTCTGCTGAACAAGCTGGTGCCTAACGCGCCCTTCCCCATCTATACAATTGGTTAGTGGAAACTCACCAATAGGGTATATAGGGCCTTGTGGAAACTGACACTGACAGTCTGACAGTCTGACAGTCTACCGGGTCGGTTAACGTAAACGTAACTCGGTATTTTATTGTCATTTGTCTTCAATGCTTAGTCTTTGCATGTCCTAACCTTGAAACATTGTCATTCTTATAAATAATATTGCGCTTATTTAAATTTATTATTTCTAGATCTCATATTTGTTTAAAAACATGGACATTTATAAGTCCTTTGGGCTTTGTACCTCGGTACAAAGAACGGTCACCCGTGACCGCGGCTGACCGTCACTAGAAACAATATCCCCACCCACAAAAGCTAGCTCCGGTCGAAACTACCTACTTAGTTGTGTCGGCTAGTGGTGACCGTCCAGCCCGGAATGCAGGGGATCGTTTTGTGTGGGCCCTGAGGTCAGATAAAAGGAATCGGTGGTTCTCTATTCCGTATTCCCTGGGAGTTTTGAATCAGGATTATATTCGCTCTGGAGTCTGGCTTATAAAATAACCTGAGCTTTCTGACGACTTTTACTCCAGCCCAGCGGCCCAGTGTGAACTGCCCTCTACCGTCCCAAGTGCAGTGTGATCCGACCTCTACCGGCCACCCGCCGGAGTGTGGTGAGAGCTGACCTCAGTCAGCCCCAGTGCGGTGTGAACTGACCTCAGCCAGCCCCAGTGCGGTGTCAGCTGACCTCCGCCCGCCTAGTGCGGCCCAGTGTGAACTGACCTCTGCCGGCCGTGCTCCCCACAGACAGTGTGAACCAGGTGCACGACATGGCGCTGCTGGCCGCCTGCGACCACACCGTCATCACCGTGGGCACTTTCGGCCTGTTCTCGGGAATGCTCACAGGGGGCAGCATCGTCGCCGCGTCGCGCCACACCGGCACTCGGGGCGACCCGTTCGACATTCAGGTCAACCCGCCCGGCGACATTGGCCAGGCGTTCCTGTGGAATTAGCGACTGTGCAGTGAGACATGGGTGGTACTGGTGTCTCACCGGTGATAGCAGTACGTTGCTATTCCGTTTCGCGAGCTGACGTCACACTTGTGGGGCAATAGGCTTGTTGACGTCATGGAGTAATCCAATTTGACATATGCAATAGCAGCGTGCTGCATCGGTGAAACACCACCGTGGACAGGAGTGTGCCTGGAAGCGTGTGGAACATGTGATCTTTATGATGGAGTCCATAGTTTTCGATCTAGTTTGGGTATGAGCGTGGACGGCGAAAATAGGAGCCTGAGGGACATACGAGCCTGCCGACTCGTAGGCGACCATCTTAAATCACGTCATAAACTACTCCGTGTCACGGAATAATATTCGTAGATTGATAATACTCATAGACTTGTCTATGATCACGTGATCAAAGATGAAGCTTTCCTTCTTCCGTATCATTTGCCTGTGCGATAGAGCTCAGGTCACGTGCTCAACGAGGCAGCTTTTAAGATGTCTAAAAACCTCCCGCGGGCACCTGTATTCACCGTTCACCGGTATCAGGAGGTATTAGTCGGGGCTGGCAGCGCCACCTGTCGATAAGTATTTAAAGTATTTTTGGCTGTCTGACTGAGCTGACATGACCGTTGACACCAATGACGGGCTTTTCATTGGCTACACTTTTTTTAGGCTTTGAGCATGAATTGGCTTCCGAAGATGACATTAGCGTCATGACCTCTGACGTCACTGATATGCGGTCTGCTGGGCCACTGTAAACCCGAGTATTAACCCGCGCCCCGCTGGGGGGGGGGGGGCAGAATCTGCCCCCCTCCCGTTTTTCGCCAATAACTTCTAAACGCGTTACGCCAGCGACGTCAAACTTTCAGTACCTTATCATACATCAATTTGACACCTTCCCTGAAAATTTGAGCAAAATCCGTCGGAAAATTTTTGAGAAATTGACGTTTTAGTGACGTCATGTTCGCCATTTTCGCCTCAAAAACGGCAAAATTTCAAACGCCGCTAACATCTTCATTTTTAAAGGAATCAAGACGTAACAAAAAAGGTTATACGTGATTCTACTTTGTCTATCAAATGGCTATCTCGGTTTTTTGAAAATTTTGGATTTTGGCCAAAATTTTTCCAAAAAACTGACTTTTTGGGGAAAATATTTATAAAATCCAAAATTTTGAGTTTATCGAAAAAACCGGAATATATGTCAAAGAAGTGGTCTATGTGCACCTACATACCAATTTTTAGAAGAATCGGTTCAAAAATGTGGGAGTTATTCAAAATTTTATGACGTCACGACACACAAAAATTTTGAAAAATGATTTTTTTGGAAGTTCTAGACCTCGTACGGAAACAAAAATAGCACCATTCGATTCGCCGTGAAAAACTGCATCGAATAGACACCTTTTTAGGCCTTAACAACCAACTTCAAAATTTGACCTCACTTGACCTGACCTTGACCTGACCTCGACCTGAAATTCATCCAGAGGTGGTCCATATCACTTATTGAGTGTGCCTATTGAATTCCATGAGTAAAATGACCCATAAAACATGTGTCGCACATGCCCTTTTCTATATTTTGTTTTTGGTGACCTGACCTGACCTGACCTGACCTTGACCTTGACCTTTGAATGACATTGTGTGCAATGAATATTGTCTTGGTAGTCTAAGAACACGTTTTGGGCAATCAGTCTCAGTCCATTCTTCGGCAACTACGGTGCAAGGCCGATACTGTAGAAACTTGTATTTTGTACCCTTGACCTGACCTTGACCTGACCTCTGACCTACTTAAGCAAAAAAATTTGGGCTCTTAAGATCCGCCTTGTTGAGAGCTTTCGATTGCCGTTTTCCCCGTCTTTCTACGACCATCGGTTCGGAAGTTAGACAGGGGGGGCAGAATCTGCCCCCCCCCCCCAGCAGGGCGCGTATGGCTGAATAGCCCAGCGGGGCGCGGGTTAAGGGAATTTACCAAACTGCTGTTAACCTATGAATAGGTTATGGAAATAACGAATGTTTCTCGTCCAAGCGACCTATAACAGTCGGCAAATGTGGGTCTGGTATGTACTACTAACATCGTGTATCAATTTAATATGTCGCATATCGTTCCAGTGTGGTATATGTCATATGTATGTGCGTTATTGTTTGAACTTTGAACAATAAGTACTGTGTTCTGAAAACTGTCAATAGGTACTCTTTGATAGGTTCACGTTCTTACTGCAGATGTGGTGCGCTGCGGGAACCTTTATTTTGTTACACATCGTCACTGCGCTGCATTGCATGCATGCTTAGTGACAGTTTTACTTTGTGTAATGTGCACCGAGATGTCGAATTGTATGGAATGTGGCACCATGACGTCTGCTATGAGTTGGTTTTGCGAATACATTTTGTAAATGGAAACTCAATATAAATCTTCATTAAGTTTCTCCATCACTATTTCAAGTGTCGGATGTGTGTCATAACCTTTGCGATGAAAGTTAGTTTGGAATGAGTACATAATTTAAGAATAAAACATTCAATGAATATTGAATAGCGTACAATATTGTATAAGGATGTGATATAATAAATAAATGGATACTGAATAGCGAAGGGAACTCGTTAACCCGCGCGGGGCTGGGGGGGGGTAAATTTTACCCCCCCTCGCGAATTTTTGCGATATCTCAAAAACGGCGGCGCGCAGCGCCGCCAAACTTTCAGTACCCTTTCTTACATCAATTTGACACGTTCCCTGAAAATTTGAGCGAAATCCGTCGGAAATTTTTTGAGAAATTGACGTTTTAGTGACGTCATGTTCGCCATTTTCGCCTCAAAAACGGCAAAAGTTCAAACGCCGCTAACATCTTCATTTTTAAAGGAATCAAGACGTAACAAAAAAGGTTATACGTAATTTTACTTTGTCTATCAAATGGCTATCTCGGTTTTTTGAAAATTTTGGATTTTGGCCTAAATTTTTTCAAAAAACTGACTTTTTTGGGAAAATCATTATAAAATCCAAAATTTAGAGTCTATCGAAAAAAACGGAATATATGTCAGAGAAGTGGTCTATGTGCACCTACATACCAAATTTTAGAAGAATCGGTTCAAAAATGTGGGAGTTATTCAAAATTTTATGACGTCACGACACACAAATTTTTTGAAAAATGACTTTTTTGGAAGTTCTAGACCTCGTACGGAAACAAAAATAGCACCATTCGATTCGCCGTGAAAAACTGCATCAGATAAACACCTTTTTAGGCCTTAACAACCAACTTCAAAATTTGACCTCACTTGACCTGACCTTGACCTGACCTCGACCTGAAATTCATCCAGAGGTGGTCCATATCACTTATTGAGTGTGCCTATTGAATTCTATGAGTAAAATGACCCATAAAACATGTGTCGCACAAGCCCTTTTCTATATTTTGTTTTTTGGTGACCTGACCTGACCTGACCTTGACCTTGACCTCTGAATGATATTGTATGCAACGAATATTGTCTTGGTAGCCTAAGAACACGTTTTGGGCGATCAGTCTCAGTCCATGACTCCATTCTTCGGCAACTACGGTGCAAGGCCGATACTGTAGAAACTTGCAATTTGTACCCTTGACCTGACCTTGACCTTGACCTCAAACTTTAAATTAAGTACATGTTTTTAGTAGTTCGTGATGAGAGCTTTCGATTGGCGTTTGAATTTTCCAAATCGGACCATTAGTTCGGGAGATAACAGGGGGGTAAAATTTACCCCCCCCCCAGCCCCGCGCGTTCGGCTGGAGACCCCAGCCCCGCGCGGGTTAAATAAAGCAGGCTGCGTTCGGCTGAATGCCCCAGCAGGACGCACGGGTCAAAGGGACCAGCCCTCCTTTTCAGAGGCGGCGAAACACCTTCAATTAAGGGGGGGGGGGGGCATGCCGACTTTTGGTCTCATTCTTTGCATGCAACGCCCATAGGGCTAACGTTAAAATGACAAAATCAAAGGGGGGGGGCACGGTGCCCCGATACACGGTGCCCCAGGGCCTCCTCTAAGGAATTTTCACTGGGGGGACCAGAGGCTCAGAAGCCAAACTTAGGGTACCTCCAAATCCGGTTTTCTCATCGGATTTAGGCCACTTATTTTTCGTCACAGTCCTGATGCCATGATTTTTATTTTTATTTTGAAAAAAAGAAATAGTAGGCCACCTGACCCTATACCGGTGGATCCAGACCGGCACGGGCAGGGTGACATTTGGGATAAATATCCCCCGCAGCGTCCGAAATCGACGACAATTTCCGGCTTTCCAAAAAATGAAACAAAGTGCCTTTATTAAAAAAGTATTAAACGGCACAGCAGTGCGTAAGGAATCTAACCGACCGCAGAAAGTGTGAGGGCTTAGGTATCGATTTCCCAAACGCTGCAAACTAACAACTACCTGCCTGAAAACAGCTCACCATCCTAAAAAGCTACTTGCCTGAAAATGACTCAAGAAACAGCCCACAGGTCAATGAGAATGAGGAATGAACAGGGCGATTACATTTTCAAGAGTGTGTAGAATTGAAGTAATCACGAGAATACTTCTAAAACTTTTGCCACGCTGGGCCACTTTTTATGCGAGTTATTCGCAAAAAAATAGGGGTGGGGTCTATCATACCCCTCAATAAGTGAGAGGGCTTATCGCTGCTAGTCCCAAACACTGGATTTTTTTATATCGAGCACTCAGCTCAGCCGCACTCTTATTTGACCGTAGAAAAATTTCCTCTTCAAGAATAAACCCGTCTCCCGAAAAAAACATAATACTTCTCCGTGTTGAACCGTAAGCGCTTGACTGATGATTGAGACTATAGAGGGCGACCGTTAGGGCTGTTTCCTTCTCAAAGTGATGCCTCGTTCGGGCTTCAGTCGGCGTTCGATTATAAAATCTGCAATGCCAGACCTCATTCCGTGGCTCATCCTAGGCGGACCTGTAAAAGAAACCCTGTAGATAAGAAACCAACGATATAAGGAAACTAAAATTTGTAACGTGATGATAGTGGAGATAGTCTGTATTGTTTGTTTGGTAAGCTTATAGTGAATTTCCTCGTTTTTCTTCGTGATTTGCTTAACTGCGTGGCCCCCCAGTGACGCGATTTCAGCTCCACTCGGGGGGCCAGCGGCATTACTGGGGGGGGGGGGCGCCCCCCCCCCCAGTTAACATGTTAAAGGAGGCCCTGCGGTGCCCCGATGCCCCCCCCCCCCCCGTTCCACCGCCTATGCTCCTAAAAGTCAGTAAATTGGCATAAGTTATGTAGGGGAGAGTGGGGTGGGTTGTATCAGTTTTTACCCCAAGACCCATAACCTCGTAACTATCCGGGATAAACTCATTATTTCCATACTATCTCCTTCCTTGATTCTTCTGCTTTTTCGTGCCAAGTAAGTTTTCCGTTACCTCTACCAGTTTTTCTTCTGCGGTCTGCCGAATAGAACAATATTTTTGATACAACTTGCCCCATGGCTTGGGTGAGTTGTAGGGTGAATAGGTTAAAAACGCCCCCTTTAAGCGCGAAACCTTCTGACACTCTACCCAGTGGCGGATCCAGGATTTTCACTGGGGAGGGGCTGCAGGTCATAATTGGGCGCCACGCCCCGGATGGGCGCCATAGTCGCATCGTATTGGCGCTGAAATATTGGCGCCCAGTGGCCCTGACAAGAGGCGCCCAGGATCAGTATGTACAGTGACACCACACGATTGGAAATATCGGTGCGGAGCGTACTGAAACGACGTTATTCGACTGATTTTTGCATCCTAGTCCTAGTATGCGGCACTCCGATGAGTTGCGAATTG